CACGGCTTTGAAGTGGGGAGCTAAAGATGGGGTCAGGTTAAAAAAAATTCTTGAGCCAGATAGCTCCTTGCTAGCTGCTTCTGCACAAGGCCGGCTGCTGCCCTGGCTTAGGCTTTTTGCCTGTTTGTTTGCTGCTCGGCCGCTCCCACCTTTTTTTGGGCGTGACTCGCCTGGTCGTAGGGAGGGCGCTGCCCCCGATATCTTAGTGCAGAGCTGAGGTTTTCGTGGGTCACCAAAAAAAAATCACATGTTCAGTGCAACGGCCCTAGCCCAGATTAGCTGAATCAGTGAGCGCTGAGAAGGTGGCAAAGCAGGCATCAAAACAGAGATGTGAAAATAGCCACTGTGTTCGAGTTGTGACAGAGCTTCATCCTGCTGATGCCACTTTTCCCTTTCAGGCATAACCCACATAAATTCTGTCTTGTTTTCTGTTTTTCTTCCTGCTTCTAGTCTCTCAGGAAAATGAATACATATTCTCTAACTGTAATGTCTGTACTAGAAATGCATGTGAAGTTTGAATCTTGATCTTCTGTCTTTTTTACATCTCTTCTAGCACCTTGATCCCATAAAGGTCAAGAACAGACTTTCTGTTAACTCTGCTGTAACCAGGCGGCTTCTTTTGATATATAAATGTACATGTGTGTATATATATTTTATATATAATCTGAATATATACTATACATAGTTCATGTGTGTTTGTATATGTGCATGTGTGTGTATACACACACATACTTTATATATATTATATAAATATAATGCAATGTTTGTGCCTCGGATTATCCACCTGAGAGTGAAGTCGGGCTCTGGCAAAATCAGTAAGCTTAATGCTGGCATAAGAATATGCTCCCGTCAGACATTGCAGGGATAAGATAGGGAGAAGAGCTGAATTTAGCCATCCTCATACATCACATCGTCTATCACTGTGGTTATTTGTTGCAATATATTGTCCTGTGGAATCCACTTTCCTTCGGTAAGAGACTTCAGCAACAAAAACTGTTTTGATTAAATGATCTTCATCCTCAGCAGTATGTAGGGGTTTTGTTTACATGCGCAAAATTGCTTTATCTCTGTGTTCTAGGTAAAGATATTTGCTCCTAATATTGAGCAAAGGGATGTAGTCAACCATTTAAAAGGAAGTCCAACAGGAGAGAAGAGAAATGTGCTAGTTGAAAGCGCCAGACTGGCAAGAGGCAACATTCAGGATTTGGCTGAACTGAAAGTTAGTGAATTCGATGCAGTCATTTTCCCTGGTAGGTGCTTTTAAAAGAAAATCATTCAGACTTCTTTAATTGCAAATGACTGCCTTGCCTTCAGTACTTTTTTATGTTTGAATTCGTTCAGATAATACTCTTGAATGTGAGAGACATCTTTCTTTTTTACTTATTTATTTTCTTTTGAAGATAACGAAATATTTTAGCAAGCTCTTGTGGGCTGACAAGTCATCTCAGATTATTTATTAATTTAAAGTTTATTAATTTAAAATGCCACAGTCTTCTTCTGGTGTTAGATTAAACATCATACCGTTCTTTCTTTCTAGAGATTGTCAGGTCTTCCGTACCTGCTTGTGGACAAGAACGTTGACCAGAGTAGAAGAATAAGGCCAGGACTTGCCATTACGTTGCAATGCCTTAATTTTAGTGCGTCTGAAATTGATGGCAGAATAGCAGGTTGCCCGATAGATGATATTGCCCGTCAGACGGGAGCACTTTTTTTTTTAATTATGTATCTGGCTGCTCCTGATCAAGCTATACTAAGTATGTTTATGGAATATTGTTTTATACACCAAAAAATTGCTTTTCAGAAGGATGTAATTGTAATGATTTTAGAAGTGAAGAAACAAAAGTGTTATGAGAGAATTACGACATGCTCAAGATCACTTTCCAGAGTAGTCATAATATTGTTAAATACTGCCTTCACAACTGGGCCCAAGGGTTAGTTTTTAAATTGATTCACTGTCTTCTGTTGTAAGGCCAGCAGATGGCATATGTGTATAACGCTGATAAATATACCTCTAAAACTGGAATGAGTTAATGACATCAGGGCTGATCTGGGAGTAGAAGCTAGCAAATATTTTCCACGTTAATTTCATGCTCTGTTATAACCCAGACTCAGGGGGGTTACAGTAATAACTTTTAGAGGGAAATAAAACCCTATTAAGTTTGAAAATTAAAATCTTACCTCAGAGATTCCAGATAACAGCCAAAAGTGACTAAAGGGGATGTAATGAAAGCAAAAATATTAAAAGTGCAAAACGTCTTGATGTTGTCCCTTGAAATACTTCTGAAAATTTTGTGTTGCATCATGATTATTTATTATAGAAAATGTGATGTTGTGTGCATTCCCTAGGAAGTCAAATATAATGGATGGTTACACTTCCTAATAGCTTTGATAATTTAGATGGTTCTAAATCCAGCAAGCGATGATGCTATAAAATATAATGTGTTTGTAGAATTAAATGAGGAGCAAATGCAGATAAAGGATTACTTCTTATAACTAATTTCTGGAAAGACAAATTGAGCATTTTTTTTTTAACAGCAAATTATGTCATCATTTACAAGTGGTATGCCTCAGAATATCACATTTTTATCCATTCCTTTTTATGTAGTAGCTGTATAGTTTTTATGATGTAAACCTTGCTTTAATTTTTTTAAGTCCAAAAAAGATTTCTAGGAGGAAAAAACTCTCTTTTATAACTGTTTAAATAGTAACTAAAACTCGTCAGTGAAATTACTCTAGAGGGTCAATCTATTGTCTGCATTATCCTCATGAACTGCTTTCTCCTACTTTTAATTATCATTGCTCTTTTAATCCCCCTCTTGCTTACTGATGAGAGCGTATCAGATTGTGCAATGACTAGCAAATGAATATAAGGTTTCCTGTTTCTCTATTTATTGCTCACTGAAACAAGATTAAGCCTTCTGACCTACGTAACATATATGGAATTAAAAATCTGCAGTTAAACTTCTAACATTATAAACCCATCATGTTTTATCTGCTGAAAACTTTCAGTAGAGTAACTTAAACTTTCTACCTATACTATGGTTACATTGTGAAAAGACTGAAAAAAGATAACTTCTTTCTAGTGTGGTACTTAATAGCTTTTAGCAGTGCCTTATATTTGCCTTTGTTTTTTTTTTTTTTTTGAGGTGGATTTGGTGTAGCAAAGAACCTGTGTTCCTGGGCAGTAGATGGCAAGAACTGTACTGTCAATGAGCACGTGAACTCCACTCTCCAAGCTTTCCATAGTGCTAAAAAACCAATTGGTTTGTGCTGCATATCTCCAGTCTTGGCAGCTAAAGTCTTTCCTGGTTGTGAGGTCACTGTTGGCCAAGATAAAAATGTTGATGGAAGGTAAGAAGGGGATGGACGGAGATAGTTTACCTGGGAGTTAATATTAGAAAACACTAGTCTTCTCTGCAAAAGCTCAGGCCTCTGGTATGAGTAACCATTGGGTAACTTATTAGTTATGTTTTTTTCTTATTTTAAGCTTTTTCACTCGCTTAATAACAGTAGGCATAGAACTATCAGGGCAGAGAAGCTGAATGTGGACGTCGGGTGACTCATTATGCACTTTGATGTTAGAACAATTTATCCCTGAGTTCAGAAATACATTGGTCTGTGACATGTTCTGTGATACCAACATCCGCAGGCACATTACCATTAAAAAAATGTAAAGACGACAAGTAAATCTTGCCCAAACCATCTGTCCGTGAGCCAGTGCAGGGAACATAGGCTCCCAGACTGGCTTTCTTCTGCAGTGTGGGTGCCAGTGACTGTCCGTCAGTCCTGAAAGGGACAGAACAAAGCAATTGTTGTAGGATCCTAGTTGTACAAACTAGCAGGTGGCCATGGGTATCAAGTTATTTTTTCTCAATACATTCATGGTAATTGAGTGTCTAGTTGTAGCTCGTATTACATGAGATATGGGATTTGCTTACCTAATAGCTTTGAAGGCTCAGATTCATGTTGCAAAAGTGGTCATCTGAACGAGCATTTAAACTATGTCTTTGGGGTTTTGTTTGCTCAGGAGTTTTTAATGAGTTTTTCTGGTGGTAGTGGTTTGGGGCCAGTATGGAGGAAGCAGCTGAGAGCAGGGCCTGGCAGTCAGTGCTGCTTCAAGGACTGTCAACTCCTGATCAACTTCTGAATCAGCAGCTACACAGCCATAGTGAAGGTTTATCTCTGTCCCCTATTCCTGCCTTTTCCTCAGGAAAAACAAAAAACCCTCTGCAGAATCCCAGTGAAAGTCTTTATATAGAGGGGCAGAAAAAGATCTAACATTCTGCAAGCGCACCTGGCTTCTCACAAACTTTCGGGCATCAGTTATTGCCGCACTTAGTATCACCTTGTAAACTTATTAAAAGATTGTTAAACAGAATCATGCCGTCACACATACTGTGAACATGCATTTTAGATGTTAAATCTCTTGTTTTCAAAGTTATCGGATCAGTTGCTATGGACATAGGGGATAAGGGAAAATCTGACAGTGGAAGTCTGTTCGACTTCATTGTTATCATCAGCTAAAAAGATCACTTAAATATTCCTGTTGTTCTCTCATTCAAGTTACGCTGTCAGTTGGTTATGGCTACAGCATCTCTTTATGTTAATTAAAGTCTTTTTACTTACAGATTTCCCGATGTTGAAATAGCATCTGCTATAGCAGAGCTCGGATGTAAGCATGTTTGCAAAGATGTAAATGAATCGCATGTGGATAAAGCCAATAAGATAGTTACTACCTGTGCTTTCATGTGCAAGGCTCCTTTGCATGAAATCTTTGATGGAATCGGAACAATGATAGAAGAGGTCCTGAAACTTGCCTGACTGGAAAGGTACAAGTATCTGCAAGGAGATCCACTTAGCTAAACATAAAAATTTAGCCTCCTTTGATTGTATTAATAAAATAATGCAACTATTAAACTTCACAGTTGTTTTTTTTTAATCTGTAACACATCAAATGGTTATTGCAACTTGATCTTTTTTTTTTTTTTCCTTTAAATTAGGAAGTGTCTGTTGAAGGTTTTTTTTTTTTTTTTTCTCCCTAAATCTTGAATGTATTCAGACTCACATAACCTGCCTCACCTTAAAATAGGTCTTACCTACTCGGAATAAATAACCTGGAACAGCGGCCTAAGTGCACATTCCTTACAGTTACTGGTCAGCTTTTTGGACACTGTTAGGAAAGGTGGGGCTGAATGTCTAGTAGAAGCATTGCCTCAAAACTGAAATACAAATACAGCAGGAAACAAATTGTGAAGAACAAACCTGTACCACAGAGCAGCCACATGAGGGAAATAATGCTTTTATGAACAGCGGCCTAGAATTCTCCCTCTTGTTCTGCAGCTGGTGTGAACAGGAAAGGCACTATTATTTGCCTCATCAATGCAAGACCAGTCTTGATAGTGAAGCTTGAGGTGTTGCAGAGTATCAAATGCTATTACTCTGTATGGTGTGTTTATTTTAGCACAAATGTAGCAGGTAGCCTCTTCGAGGAGGCTCTCTAGGTAAGTATACAGAAATACATATTTGAAGGCATTTAATTTTCTTTGCCCTTCTCACAGTGATGTTTCTCACAGAGACAACATTTCCATACTCCTCCGGAATTTGGAACTTCCTTATGAAGTTATTTAATGGAAGCAGAATGCGTACACTTTTGTGGCAGAAGGGCAGGGGCATTTTTGTGTAGCACGCAAGCAGTGCTCTACCTCTAGAGGTACAAAGATAACTGAAGTACGCTGTGCCAGCAGAGGATATTCTGTTCAGCCTCTCTGACTGAAATATGCACGTAATCTCTAAATTATTTACTTAGTCAAAAAAACACAATATTGCACTGAGCATGGCTCTTATGTTACAGGAGTCCAATTTAAAAGTTCCTGAATCACTAAATGAGAGATTTTCCTGAATTTTTTACTAGCTTTGTGAATAGCATCTAGCTGTAAGTTGGGCTCTAAAGTGATGGAATACTGTTTAAAGTAAGTGCAGTTTCTCTGAAAGTGCTCTGGCGGACTGTCCCAGTAAAAATGTACTTAATACAGAAGAGTCCTCTACTTTTTCCAGATTATACACCGTCTCTATAATGCCTTCTGTGGCTTCTGCAGAGAGGACTCTGGAGGCATTGGATTGGAATTTTTTCTCCAAGTCTTCTTTTTTCAGAGGTTTCCTCCAGTGCCCATAGAACGTATTGCAGCGGTCACTGAATGTGTTGCCATCCTGAAGTGTAACGCTCACTTCACAATAAAGACTCTCAAAGCTGGGCTTGTTATCAGAAGGATGCTCTAGGTGTGTTTTGCAGAGAAGCTCCCGTAAGGCTGCTCTATGAATGTTCTCACTGGCAAAGGACTGAACTGACATGCTGCCATCCAGTAAAGCAGAGCAGGAAACAAACTGGCAAGAGTGTCGAGATTCATGTTATGAATTAGGGGTGGGTCTGTTCACGTATCTGACCTCTGGGACCTTGACGATGACTTTCTGAATTTTGTCAAGGGGGAGCATGTTATGGTGCTCTACGAGCTTCCTCCTAACAGAAGAGGCTGCATCAGCCACCCAGTGTGTTCCAAGGTGAGCAGGAAAGCGTTTGATGGCTACGTCTTGTTGGTCCAACAGCCAAGGATAGGACTGTAAGGTTGGCAGAGTCTGTGGGTTGTAATCTGTATAAAAGGCACCCATCCCCGAATCCATGTCCAAGATCTGTCCGTTTCCTTGAACACCCAGTGATGCTAAGCAAGCTGCTTCCAGTCCATGTTTTGCTGCATTGCCAACGTGGAGGGGCTTTGTCTGGGTTGCTGCATTAGCCAGTGGGGCACCTGCATAGGAGGCAGCAATAGCCAAGGTGTTTTTACATTGCAGCTGGTCAAGAGCTAGCAGTTTAGCACAGGCTGCTGCACTTCCCATTGTACCAACCACAGTGGGTGGGTGAAACCTGAGAAAACAAAATCTCTTTCATCACTGTATTTCGTAAAGTCACATGCATTCACTGTATGCACAAGCTCCCATTTCCTTTCGCTACAGTGGAAGGTGGGTTGTACCACAAACGAAACATTCAAAATTCAAGGGCTAGTACTAAGGGCTGTCCTAGTGTAAAAGCTGCCTCTTTTCCCTAGGAACAGGTTAAAATGAAATAGCCTCACTTAGAATAGGTCCTCCCCAGAAAACAATTGAAAAGTAGAACTGCTTATAGTTAAGGCATACTGAACAGAGTAATGGTAAAAGAGTCCTAGTCCTCTATGAAGCATACACACTGGGGAACGCAAATTCTTATATTCTGAACCAGTTTTGCAAAACCGGTAGAAGAAAAACAGAAAACAGAAGACTGAGTCCATCCTGCACTTCAGGGCTTTTCCTCTGAGCACACCATGTCTTCTTGGGCTCTGATGTGAGCCCAGCTCAGGTGAATCCATACTACTGTGAGGCAGCAACTGCTTGCAAAGGAGACAGATCAGATGTATTCATGAGCCTCTGAGGGCTACGTTGTTAAACCTTGTCCCTTTTGCGGCTATTTTTCATTAACGATCATCAAAGCCTTCTTGTAGATGGATCAATGCTCTCAAAAAAATTTTAGCTAAGCATTAAATAGTCATGAAAGTGTAGTCATGTTTAAGATTGGCTAAAACCTTCACTAAATTTCTGGACAAACAACATAGCAAATACAAACAACTGTGCCATTTGTAGTTTTGCTGGCATTTGATTAAGTATATTAACCCTGAAAAAACTTCCACTCAGCTTACTCTTTGAAGTGTTTTATGTACCTTTTAGGAATGTTCCTGGCTTCACTGGAAAAGCGTAGCAACCTGCCTTGCACTTCAATTCCCACGTTGAAAGCTAAGAGCAGGTCAAGGCCAGAGATTTTTTTCTTTTGAGAAAAGGCCTCTGAGAGTGCAATCACAGCAGGAAGCACAGCCCCAGACGGGTGTGTGGCTGGGTGCCATGTGTCATCAAAATCCATTGAGTGCACCTAATGTAAAGAGAAACTTTGATTTGTCGTTAGAAATCAACTGTTTACCTTGACAAGATCAACTCAGTCAAATGAAAATTCTGCAATTAGTAGAAAGATATTGAAAGACTTGATTTTTCTTAGAAAGCAAAACTTTTTTAAAAAAGTCTTTCTTCTAAGTACTTTACTCCCAGCGTGGCTTGTTGAGAAGTAGAAATGCATTATAAATCCTGCATCAAAGGGGCATAATTCTGATCCTAGCTGCACTAGTCTAAAATCAGCATGACATTGATATTTCTTTCCTACAATAGACTTTTGTTGCTTTAACTAGACTGGTATAATTAAAGCAGTGATTCTAGAGGTACCATGTGAATGTAGATGTATCTGTTTTCACTTCCCCAAAACAGTATCTAAGTATACTGAAATTACTTCTTCTGTGCTGCTGACTAATGCTGACATTAGGGCTCGTTCCAGTAAAATTTTAGTAGTGAAAGTCCGTAATTCCCACTGAAAGTTGTAGCAGAATAGCTCTTCTGGTGCAGACCAGCAGCATGCCAACAGGCACAAGCCTGAAAATGTTAATCGGGCTTTAGCCTGAATTTTCAGCACTGCAGAGCAGACCTGTCACTTGAGCAATCAGATTCACTGGGGCTGCTGGGAGCAGGAGCAAGCTTCAGTGGTAAAAATGAGATGAGCTGCTTAGCCCTTAAGAGCATCTGGAGGGGCCTCCTCTTCCCTGAACCCAGAGTCTGGCTGCTCCAGAAGTTTTCAGATGTTCCCAGCATGGCGTATTGCTGCTGTTTTGATAGCAGACTGCTCCCAGCAGTGTAGAAAAGCATTGTTATCATCTGGAGTCTACTAGAAAACCCCAAATGTCCTAAGGAATTGCAGGCATCAGGAGTAGCATTTTAAACACAATCACAATGCCTCAGTATCGGAACTCACTTTCATGCCTATTCATGTGTGTCTTGTTTCAGAGCTCTACAAGCAAGGACGGTTGTAACGCTCCCCAGCACTCAGATCTGGCCCTGTAATGCTGGGAATACACAATTCTGGCACCCTTAGGCTCCGGCTGCTGAGGAGTTTGGTTCTAAACAGACGAAAGAAGATCCAGTGCCCCCCTTGAAGAGTTTGATGCCAATTGTGAAGATGCCCTGCAGTGTGGGATATGGAGAGTTGTGTCTAAAACCCAGTCAGCTGTGTTCCTTGAGTCTTCCATAAGCACTTAGAATTGACCTGTGACCAAGATGTAAACTGAAATTATCACATATATATTAGCAGCCAGATCTGAATATCACACTGATTGCTAGGAGCTGAGAGGTACTATATCTCATTTCCAAAATAATTTTTTCTACATTGGAAACGAGGTGTCAAATTTGACCTCTGCTCTTGTTGTCACACTAATTTAGATAGGCTTAATATATCATTTCCTTGGATGGTTGCCTTCCCTAGTTTTGCATAATTACCATATTTGTCTACACCACCTCTGGCATATCCATTGATTGCAATTGGTTTCAGCCGAGATCTGAATATAGGCAAAATTCTGAGGAGTCAGTTATTGCTCTACTGATAAAATGTGTGTCCAAAATGTATAATTGGCTTTTGCAGATTGCATAACTGAAAATTAGTTTTGGGATATATCTGTGATAGTACACAAGTATATGTATAGGTGCATATGCAAGTATTTGTGTTTTTCTGTAATTATACTTGGTTAGTTGGGATGAAATTTGGATCCTGCTGTAATCAGTGAAAGCTAGAGTATCTCTTTGTTTTGTAACAAGATTGTAATAAACTGTAGCGTCTTGTACCTTTGAAAACAGCCCCAAGTCCCAAAATAACCGTAGAGGATGCTGTTGACTTAGATCAGATACATATCATCTCATTCTTTGAGCCTGGTCTCATTGGAAGAAAGTTGAAGCACACTAGGAGAATAGCCTAGGACTCAGGTATAAGAATAAAGTAAACTAAGATTTTAGGAGCTTTCTGTTCTTTCCATAAGAAGGATGGAATCAATTAGTGTGATTTAAGAGCAAATAAAAGAGAGTCCCTTACAGCCACTCCATTTACAAAAGCTGCATACAGAGGAGGAAGTCGGAAACCCAAGTGGCCCCAGGCGGTACTGGATATATCTGAGCTGTAGATCTGAAACAAATTGACATCGATTAATTCAAAATCCCGAACCGAAGGATAAATGTATACTGTATCTCTGATGTAACTGAGATCAGATCATACCCTTTTGGGACTCAGCTGCTCCCTTCCATAGGAAATGAAAATGTCAATATATTATTGTATCGGAAAGTATGAAAAGAAACCCTTTTTCCGGAGGACTTGTGTCAAGGGCTCAAACAGATTACAGGGAGCAGACCAGCACCATGGGCCTGACCATCCAGTACCTTCGCAACACCTCTGACCATTGGTGTCCCTTTCTAAAAGCTCATCGGCAATTCCCTCAGGACTGTCATCATCTTATTTGGGAGGGTTTCCAGTTAAAAGGTTCTGTTTCTTTCAGTTTTAGTAGACCCTGGATGAACGAAATATGGCTTTCTGATGCTGACATTCCCACATTCTGAAGGGCACCTTTCCTTTACTTTTGCTGTGCAGGCCTTTTCGATGAAGAGATCTTTACAAAATTCAATACAAGTGCATAAACTACCACAGTTTTACTGTATAAAGAGAGATCTTGGCACACAGAGTTCTGGAGCCTCAGTCCAACTAGCCAAGTATTACAGGTAAAACAGTGGGCTAAATTCCTTCCCACTGATGCACCCTTAGCTCGGAAAGGCTTCTACTCAGGGTCAAGTATTCCTCGTTTAAGCAGAATGAGACTGGAGGAGAAACACAATCAGCATACCTTGGACAATAATTATGTTTATGGACCGGAAATAACCCAACATTAACTTTCCATGTATTTTAACAGTCTCTTATTTTGGAAAGTCTAGTGTTCAGTAATGTTTCCTTTGCTGATGCTTTTCCTAAAATCTTGTATGTGAAAGAAAGGAAGGGATTCTTAGTTAACCGTGTTCTGCTTTCAGTGGAGAGTCTTAGCATACAGTTTATTGCATAGACTTTTACCCAACCCGTAAATCCCTTCTCGCCAATGGGTAGAACACTCCCTCTCTCCTCTCCCACATCATCAACGGAATCTCACCATGAAAAAGTTCCCCCCTAGCAGCCCAAATTTTCGTTTGCTTTTCTTATAGCTAAATCTGAGGGTATACTATGAATACTAAACATCTTACTTTGCTGTACTGTATCACTTTGTGGCAGATCTCAGTGCTGGTACCGAGAAGCCCAACTCCAAGAGTATCCAGAATCATTCGCTTGCTTCTCTGAATGACTTGGTCTGTCAAATGGTTTCCATTCAAACCATGAATCACACTGGCAAAATTTCCCGTAACTGTCTGGGAGAGAAAAAAAATTAGATATTCCCCTTTCCCTTCATTTAACGAAAATATTTTAAAAAATCTTTTCCCCCCCCCTTTTTTGTTTTCAGGCTTGGGTCATTGCTTAGCATGCTGGCCATTTCTGTTGTCGTGTGCTTGCTGGTATGAATTGCATCAGGAAAACTGATGCTTGAATTGTTCCCCTTTTTATTCCCGGAAATAGCACAGTGTTACTTCTGTTTTCTTTTCACTTTCATCTGTCTCCTTATCTGTTCTCTATTTCTGCTGCTTCCTCCCTGACTTGAGCCCTTAAGATGCAGGTGATGTAACTTGGTAAGTTATAAAAAAGAACAGGAGCAAAAAGCACCTGGCTTTCAATAGCACCTTTTTATTGCCATTGAAATCAGTGGGAATTTGGCACTTCAGGCCAGCGCAGCCACTGCCACCTAGGGAGGTAAGATTTAATCTCTATGAGTAGCCAAATAACTATCCCAAGCCTCACTGAGCTTAGAGCTCAGTGGGAGATGGCACTTGGCAGCTCTACCTCTTACCAGCAGCTCCTGGCCGGCAGCTCCCACTGAATTCACACTCAGTTGGAGTTCTAGCTGTTCTCCAAGACAAGATCTCGCCTCTCCGAAAAGCAGTGGCTCCTCGTTCCTGGCTCCTGCTGATCTGGGAATTATATTCCTCATTTTTTGCTTTCCCACTGAGTATTGACCCATTATGCAAACTCAGCACGCTTTGCCTTGACTGGAGCTGTTAGCTGCTACTAATACTCCTATTAGAAACTAATCTAGAATTTCCCTCCTCTACTAGTTATAAACTTTCTCCTGTAGAGAGGCATAGGTTATTTACAACAAGTCTGTACATACACTTGCTGTTCTGCGCTAGCATTGCTGTAATAGCTCTCCCCTGTCTTTGGAAATTGTCTTTTTCCATTTCTCCTCTTTTTCCCCGTCCATTACTCCCCTGCATATATTCACAGAATTATAATATTTCCTCTCAGCCTTTATTTTGCTAGGTTAAGTAAGCCAAACTGTGCCACTCCCTCCTTTAGAATACAGGTCCTTCATCCCCCCTGACTATGCCAGTAGCTTTGCATTGCATTGTTCCAATTGGATTTATTTTTTCTGGTAATGGTGACTGAACTGTACCCATTATTTCAGCTAAGAAGTTCTCACTGAGCTTTGTAGCCAAGCATCAAGAGAGTTTTAAGGAATACAAGGCATTTAAGGCAGGTGAAGTACATATCCCACGGTGTGATGCACACCAACAGAAACATGCACAGTGAAGATACAAAAGCTTAGATTGTAAGTACATCTTAAAGTGCAAAGAAATAAAGAGGGTACCTTTGCCCACATCTTGGATGGATGGTGAGTGGTCCCAGAGAGAAGCAACAAATGACTGGCAACCAGGGAACAGTGAAAAATCAGTCTTTTACTATTTATATACGTGTGCTCGTGTGGGGAGGGGAAATATTAGGACCAATCTGCTGCTCATCTTGTCCTGCCCATTTCCTCCTCTGCCTGGAAATGCTCCTTTTTCAACATTTTCAACTTTCCTCTGACTAACTGCACTATAAACTGCTGGGACATGTGAGAGATGACCTTGCAAGTCAAGTCCATGTGTCATGCGTAAGCTGATATATGTGTTTATTAGCAGACAGAAACTAGGATACTAATTTGAGTGTCTTATATATGGGAGCACGGAGAGAAGAGGTCATCAGGTGTGTCAGCCTGATCTTGGGGAACTACAGTATAGCATGAATAATTTTACCTATAGCGAGAGCAGTTAGCCTGTTATCAGTCTACAGTATGGCAAAGGCTATTTTAAGTTAAAATGTCCTGTTACCATTTTCTTCTCTCACTATATCTGTCTCTTCCATAATATATGTAGGTCAGACATGAAAACTGTGCAGCACTGGAATTTCAGACTGTATGTTGGTTTAAAGCAGCTCTTTGCATTTAATGGTGTTTTAACAGCATGAATCACTATGAGAGACCAGGTACGTCCGATTCCTTTCTACTACCAGATTTTCTGCATCTTAGGCTTAGGATTTTCTGCTTCTTTGAGGAAGGAGGCACTTCTTCCAACACCAGCTTAGGGGTTTCACTTCTGCAGGAATCCAAGACTACAAGTTAGACTAAATCTGTGAGACGTTACTTCAGCTGGCACTGAGTGAGAAATCCATCCGCAGCCCATCAGGAATGGAGCAGACCCCAGAGGTGCATGAATAGAGACCACTCAATAATTCTGAAGTGAAAACCTAATGCATGTCTGAAGTTCCAGACCTCCTGGATTAGGAATCAAAGCGTAGACTCTTTCAAATTTACAGTCTTGCACCTACATGCTTAAGTGCTACCTCACATACTTTAGGGCTCTCAGCCCTTTCCTCAGTCTAGCCTCAAGTCATTTTCTAAAGCCTTCTCAAACTCTTGATTTCTTCCAGATAGAGAGCTATAGGGGTCGATGCATACAACTAACGTTAATTGGAGTGAATCTAACTATGACTGAAAGGGACAGTCGTGTTCCATGCTCCATCCTCTCCCCACTCCCTGGCCACACAGGAGGTTCTCCTCCTCCTTCCACCAGCTCTGATGCTCAGCAGATCCCTTTCTGAGCTGATTCAGCCTCTCTTTGGAGCCAGCTCAGGGACTCTCATCTATCAGACTAAACTGAGTTTCTTTGTCCCAGAAATGCAAAATTAAATCTAGCATTGGGAGTAGAAAGAGGGAGGAGGAGGGTTAGCAGTATTCTGTGAAAAATCTAAGAGGGGACACGTATGTGGAAAGCGATGGGAGGGAGTCAGTTGTTCCCCAACAAGCTCTAACCTAGATGTGTGCCTACTTTGCCTGTACCTTGAGCGAGCTGTACCTACGCATCTCATCTTCAGGTGCCTAACCTGAGGCTGAAAACTACACTGGGCAACAGGATCTAAAATGACAGAAGCTGAAGTGTGCCTCCACGGGTGTAGCCAAAGAGCCCAGGGCCCAAGACTCCTAAAACCCAGCCCTGCAAACACATATGTACTTTTGTGCTGGCTAATGTGCATTGTGTGGCGCCTCAGTTTGAAATCATGGTCCTGTCTTTCTTCTAAATATGAGCAGCTATTCAGCACGGCTACTAATCCTTTTCCCAGTTCTCACACACATTTCTCTACGAGCACGCCACATCTTTCTGCAATTTTCCCTTGCTCATACCTACAAAACCTACACCTAATAAAACAACCCAGCAGCATTTCCCAGTTCTTGTCAGATGTGCATTTTGGCCACATTTTGACCCCATGGGGAGACACAGCCTGAATACGCATCAGGGCTTCTCTCCCCTGCCCCCCATTTCCACACTAAGGAAAACCTCAGAGGTTGCCTGGATGTGCTGGGAATTACTGCTGTTCCTGATACTGGGGTTTACAAATCTAGTCATTATAGCCCAGCTAACAGGACTGGTCACACCGGCAAGACTGGCAACAGTTAGAATGGTTAGTATAATAAGTAGTTGGTATGAGATTAAAAAAGGGAAAGATTTTGTTACCTGTTTATTTTTGTTCTTTCAGATCACCCTTCCCTCCAGAAAATTAGAAGAGAATATACACATTAAATAAAAAATATTCATATCCTACAGTCAGTCCTCTTTCAGGCCTCTTTTCCCATTATCTTTTGGATACCATTTGTAATCTAGCTTCTCTTACTTCTGTCTCTCATTTTTCCTCCTTCTCCTTTGGGACAGAATCAGACTGAAGTGAAATTTGAATGTCTCCTTGGACCCTCTGTGCCACTGGATAGCACAAAGGAGACACAACAGCCACCAACCCAGTTAAGGAGAATTCTCCTAACACAAGAAGCACATGGGACCCTTTGTATTTCCCTTTACAACTCCAATGGAAGGAGCAGTGAATATAACTGAACAGCTCAAAGATATGAGAAAACTATGAAGCAATGTAACTCCCTATTGCTCTAATTTATTGCTCTAATGATTGCTCTAATACAGGTGGCATTATACCGGAAAGCCCACAGTCAAAATGAGGTAAAAATGGCTTGTAACCCCCTTCATCTTCGAAAGGCATAAGGCAGTGCCAGCCTGTAGGTCTGCATCCTCACAATCAGTAACTGCATCATCCCTCAAAACAAGGCCTTTACTACTGCTTACAGCTTACAATGTCATATTGCCTAACACTTTGAGTCACCTGTTGTAATAATCAAGTGCAGGGCTGCATTTAATCCCGTGTCAAGACTTAAAAGTGAATTCAAATATCATCGAGAACTTGTGATGTGCTTTGTAATGTAATTTGCTGTCACACAGTCCTAGCTGCAGCTCAGATATACTGTCACTTCCTTCTGTAACCTTGATTGCATTATGGATTGTCTAATACATTGTAATAATAATTAGTAGTGCTAAGGACTGAACTGAGATGTCATGAGAAAGTCATTTTTTAAAAATGAAGGGAAACTGTAAACATACAAAATTAGATTACTTTGGAGACTGATTTTCAAAATGTGGTCTGCAGACCTCAGAGGCAGGGGGGTACACTCTAGACTAGGAGGGAAAGGAAAACAAGATGATTATCATTGCAGGGGGAAAAACTTTCTACACAAAATTCTGTATACCTCCACAGGAAAATTTATAGTGGTCTAAATAAAAAAAGGCTGAAAACCACTGACTGAGAGTTTGGCACAGGCCTTCCTCTCTGACAAAGGAAATCTGCTGCTTTCCTCTCCTTTGACATAATATGCCCATGGTTCAGCATTTTGGGCAGAAAATGTGTTAACTAGTAAACATGATGGAAAGACAAAACACCTTCATCAAAATGCCGTTTGTAACAGCGTGTGTAGCTACAGTATAGAGTTGCTTTGATTACAGAACAAGGCTTTAGACAACGAGTGCCCCACAGAGCATATTTTCTCCTGCTGACATCATATTTTTTAGCTGCTATTTCTTCTTTTGCCTACAGCTATTTTAGGATAAATTCTGCCCACACCTGCAAGCTGTATGTTCGCAACTCAAAGCAGTATCTCGCCTCACTCTTATGTTCTTTTTGTCCTAAAAATTATGACAAAATACACAGGTCAGGCTTTCTTCGCTCTAAGCCAGCTTCTAAGATATAACTTTGTTCATGGCCTGTGTTAACATGAGAAAAAGAGAGTCAGATGGCAATGATGTGCTTTGCTTACAGAACACCAGCTACTGCAAAGGATCTGAAAACAACTTACAAATGCAGAACCTGCTCCTTTTCGCTCCACTGAGATTTTAAAATCATAATAAAGAGGAGAGAATTCTGCAGGGACAGAATCTTAATGAACGGTCTGCAACAGGGGGCGTGATGTAAATCTTCTTACCAGCTAGACAGCTGTAAATCTTGGGATCCTGTAACTCGGTACCACAATCATTACACTCTCCTGTGCCTCTTTTTTCCCCAACCTATCTCCCTGTATTCACTACAGCAGCGGTTACTGAGCTAGCCAGCTCAATACAGCCTTTGTCAACAGCAGAGATCAGGAAAAGCAATGATTGCACCATAAAACATGTGACTCTGAAAATTTCATGTCTTTAATAGTTCTCCTGTTTACTTACTTGCAAAACTAGTGACAATTGCAATGCCATCTGAGAAATTGCCACAACTTGCTTCCTTTTTTTCAAAGTCACAGCAAATCTTGGAAGCGCCAGGCCATATTCCGATAAAGGCTGCTAAAGGCTGCTATGTCAAGACACCAGATTTACACTATTGTTCTCCCCTTCATAAATTAGTGGTGTTATTTCTAAAGAGAAGTCTGTGCAGTTCACTTCAACTAGTAATGTATTCCTTGACTAGCTTACACTAACTGTAAGATGGCAGTACTAGATATGCCTGGGAGAATCAGGTCAGATCTTGTTCCAGTCAGATTGGTCACCTCAGCAGACAGCAGACTGGACGTACCACGAACCACTGGGCCCCAACCACTCCATCAGCAGAAAAAAGGATGTTTGAGGTGGGCCAAAAAGTGTATTACTGAACAACCCGGTGAACCCCTTTCGACACTGCTAATGGAGGGGTGTGAGCGGCCTAAACTGTAACAGCACAAAAAGACCATTAAAGTTCCATTAAAAATTTCAGTTGACCTAGTGTTAATTTTAGGTCTCACCGTTACCACAGTCTGTACCTGTAAGACTTACGCCAGCATTCAGCTGCTGACAATGCAAAGGGGTACACCATGCTTGGCTGCCTCTGGTCCACAGCAAGGCAGCAGCGGAAAACAATACATACAGGAAAATGATATAGCCATCCCCACTCCTCCCAGCAATCCACCTCTGGCATGAATTTGAGGGTGCATGGTGGGATACCACCTCTTCTCTCCGGGATACTTTGTAGCCAAGTTTCCAAAGCTTTTGTTCACCTCGCTGTAGCTTCCTACCCTGTTTTCTAGCACAGTCAGGAGCAGG